GTCTCTGACCACTAGTTGGCAGCAGTGAGCCAGCCATTTGGCTACTCTACCTCTTGAGGTAGAGGCTTTTGTTAAGTGTTGGGTGACCATATTGTAAATTTATATTAAAAACTAAAAGCTGCAAAAATATATATTTTCAAACTACTGTCCAATTTAGTCGAATAATTGAAAACATGGATGAAATAAGAAATATGAAACAAATAAAATCAAATACATACAAAGCAGAACACAGCTAAATGTATCAAAGCATGTCTATGTAATATTAGAATTTTCTGAGACAATGAATTTTGGTTTTTCATTTTCTTCCCCCTGTAACAGGTTTTTATTTAATAGAATTTTTGGACAAAAAAAAATCGCAATATATCGCCTTGCTTATAGTATCGCAATATATTGGGATATATCGTATCGTGACCCCTCTGTCATGATATGTATCGTATCGCCAAATTCTTGCCAACACACAGCCCTAATGTTTTGCAAATATCCCATACCATGATTTTAGCTTCTTATACTGAAGGCATAAAAGATCCACATTTGAGCAGAGCGCACACCAGCCAAACTGTGCGCAACCCAAAAGAAACAGCTGAAACAGACACGGCCCAGTGAAAAGTATGTTAGGCTTGACTCCTGCTGAGTGCTACTGGAGAGACATGAAAGCGAACACGTATCGTGGCTCACATTTTTTGACGCCACGTTTCCTTCCTCGACTCTTTCCCTAGATCCCACTCTGGAGGGCTATCCACATAAGCACCACTCTAAGAGGTTGAGAAGAGCTTAAAGTGATTATGTAGAGATGATTACATATGCCTTTCACGTTCTGTTGTTAATACAACTGAACCCCAAAAAAGCCTGCAGGCAGTTATGATGATTTAAAAACGTCTTAAAAGTTGGTACACTAAAAAGGCTACATTTTTCTAATATTAAGCTGAAAATGTTATTATGGTTCATTATCTCAAACAGACTGTTGAAATAGCTTTCCACAGCAACTAAAGCACATCAGTGTGACTGGATGCTTTAATATTTTTGGTCTGTTTTGTATGCAGGTCAGCTACACGACAGAATGACAAAACACTACTTTGTCTGATGAGCACGGTGCATCACTGAGGTTGAGGAGGGAGGTTGCTGAAGCTCTGCAGGAGCTGCTGAGTCATCATGCTGGCAAAAAGGGAGACGAGATGTGGAATCTGTGTCTGAGCTGGCAGGCTGGCACGGTTACCATAGCACAAATAGCCTGGGCACTGAGAAAACTGAAGCAAACTGCAGGGCGGCGAGTGGAAGAAGCAGGCCGAGCGTGGGGCGATGCGGAGCCTGCTGTTCGTGTCCCTGTCCCTGTCCCCGACCTGCAACCAGACAGCCAAAGAGCCAGCATGCCATCAGGGACACGCAGATGGTTTGCTCCTAGGTGGATGAGAGTGTAATGCAGACCTGAGGGCTAGAGCTGTACTCGTTACTGCAGCCCACATTCAAATTTACACAACAGCATGGCAGATCAACACGCTCACCTTTCTCTGCCAAATAAAATACAACATGTAGAAAGGACAAAAGAATGCTGCAGCTTGAACACTAAAAAATTAGAYGACACACTCAAAGCAGACCTTATAAATAACTTAATAGCCTGGGAGTTCCAAAGTATCCTGACATATTGCCCCAATACTCACAAAGCACACATAACATAGCATAAACTGATGTTGGTGTACAATTATGTCAAAAAAGAAATATAAATCCATGTGTTATTTAGCATTAAGCAAGGAAGAGAGTTCAGTGTAGATGTGGTGTGCAGATGGCAAATTAAAAAGCTAACACTTCAGTCAAGTTTATTCTGCAGGTGGTAGTGAAAATAAGATATCTTGCCATTTGAATCCTGTAATAGAAGGTCTTGAGTATGAATCTTGGCCATGCCCATCTTTCTGTGTTGTGTTTGCATGAATGGATTTTCTTTGGAGGCTCCTGCTTCTTTCGAAAGCCAACAAA